GTGCATGCATGCGGCGGAACCCAGAACAGCAGCTGGCCGCTGTGTGCATGCGCACTGGCCAGCTACTCTCTTCCGGGTTCCGGTGCAAGTGCGCCCACTCCAGTTTCAGCACTTGGTGCTGAAAAGGTTAACCATCACTGATATGGCTCCTTATCTAAGGAGTTCTTCTCATGTCTACAATGTATAGAAACTCTTGTTCTATATGATCTATAAGAATGAAATATCTTGGAGTAGAATTTTTCAAGAAAGTTTATCCACTAATTGTTCTCTAAATTAGCTCTCTAAAACAATAATTTCTAATTTGGGTATTGAATTCTTGATGTTTTCTGAGCTTGGTTGTTTCCCTGCTGACATTTCACTACCATTACATTGATGATGTTACTTACCCTGGTAATGAAATGTCTGGGGAAAAACAACCAAGTTCAGAGAACACCAACAACTTAGCAGATCAGTCCTTAGTCACACATGTTCTTTACTATTAGAACTAGTTAAGATTAGGAAACCAGGGAGCCACAGGCTTATGTGCACCATCAGTTATAGAAACACATAGAGTGAATTTGGGCCACTTACCTTCTCTCAGGCTGTCTTGCCAGCCTCTTTTTCCTTCTCAGCCCAGCCTATCTCACAGGATGGTTTGCAGAAAGATTGGACAAATAAATGATTATCTTGAAATGCTTTGAGAAAATGTAACAAGTAATATTATGTTAGAAGACTATTAGATACGTATATGTAGTGTAACATGTTCTGGAGTTACATGATGTTCATTTACTAGATGTATTTGTGTTGAAGAATCTACCACTGTATCATGTATAAGACAATAGATCAAGTCCATAGCAATTTGAGACGTACTTTTTGAACGTACTTTTTGGAAATGCCTACGAGTTTGGTATGGCATGCAGTGTCCTTAGATCCGATTGCATTACATCCAGTTCTATGCTGCATCATTGCATGACTCAGTGGTGCAACCTCTGCTGAATCATCTATTTTAGTGGGCAAGTAGTAGGTATACCATGTTACACTGCAATCATTCCCTGGCTGGCTTACAATGCTAGCAAAGCTAATAGGAGCTGGGAGAATAACGAAGCATTGATATAGTCATCCATTTGGGAAAATCACTTTGGTACATAAGGCCGGATTTTTCTCAGCTTTCCAAGACGATAAGTATGCTGCGCCGGCAACCATAACTATATGACAGCCTTGTAGGTGTGCTGACTCAGCAATGATTTCTCTTTCAGTGATGCTACAGCCTTTTGATTATGACCCTAACGAGAAAAGTAAACATAAGTTCATGGTCCAGTCAATGTTTGCGCCACCTGATACTTCAGACATGGAAGCAGTAGTGAGTATTAGAAACTTTTCAATCTTCATGAACATCTTTTCTCTTAAAAGATTTGTGATTAGCCATTTTCTGAAGCATTTTAAGCAAGTGAGCTAGAGGAAGATAGAGATCTAACTTTGGCCTCATGCTATATTTGCATAATAAGGTGGCACCTCCACACTAAAACACATGTGTAGTTTGTTATGGGAATGATGTGATTATGTCTCTTCAATGAACTTTTTATATATAAATTAATATCTGCAGAAGATGTTTTATAGCTTTGGAAATCATTAGTATGTGGGAGAGGAGGTCACCTGATTTCATAGCATGGTTGCCACTAATGTAGTATGCTGATCAGAGTGGAGAATTTGAACTATGTTTTAACTGTACATGTGGTAGTCTGAATTAACCAGCCATTCTACCTTCTGAATTGCTATCCTGTTTCCCCGAAAATAAGACTTCCCCGGATAATAAGCCCAATTGGGCTT